GGAATATTACTAATTTTGTGATGCTCATGATGATGGAATTCCTCAATTCCGTCTAGACTTGTTCAGATCGAATATTTGGTTAATTGGGGAATGGTCCATTGTATGTATGTATGTATGTATGTACGCGATTGTACCGGTCATTATTTATGGTGGGGGGTGGCACCGAAGAGAAATGTTTTTCCTGGTAAAAAGTTTTGCTGACCCAACCATTAAAATGCAAAAAAATTGATTACCCAACCTCAAATATCAATTAAAAAATAAATACCCACCCCTGGCCAAAACCTTTACAAAAGAATACCATTCAGTTGTCACACATGTCCTTTACCACTTCTGCAGTGACACAAGTTTGATAACTAAACTTTCATATTGTATGTACATGTACTTTCTTTGGAGACACCATTTGTCTCCCAACAAATCGGAAAATGATCAAGTTAATGACCCTGTTTGATTCACATATTGTATTGACATATAACTGTTGACATTGCTTTTCAGTCTCCAATATTTAAGTGAGTCATGCTTTGGAAATGACAATAAATTTTTATTACCCAACCCCGTTGAGTTGTTTTGTTTTTCATTTACCCAACCTTTTAGTTACTCAAAATTTAGTTTACCCAACCCTTTTCTCTTCGGTGCCCCCCCCCGCCATAAATATTGACCGGTCCCTAAATGGTATTGTGAAGCGTCTTTTTTTTTCTTTTTTCTAAAATTTAATTCGCCCAATTTAATTACACAAATTTTAATTATTATATTTATATGTTTATTATCTAGGCCTAGGGCTTTTGATTAAGACCCCTAGTTACATTTTAAATTACAAAATAAGGATCCTGTTTACAAACAAAACTAGGTGACAGTGCTTCAAGTGAGGTGCAATATGATAAAGTATTTACATATAGGGCCAAGTAAACATTCGTATTCTTCAACAATTTAAGATAAATGAATGATATTTGGTGAGAGTTTATGTATAAATCGGCATGATTTGTATCAGATATACAAACTCCTTCACGCTCATGATTTCTTTTGAGTTTTGTGTTTTCTTCATGGATTATTGATGGATTTCATAAGTATCATATATAGGCTACTATATATAGAGCTGGATGCAAGGGTGGCCCCTTACTTACAGCCCGTTCAGGAAAGAATACACAGATAATGCACACTAATTCTCGTAAGATATCCAATCTGATGACCATTTTTAGCCTTGCTCATGGTCTTAATCAGTTAATCTACTTAACTTTCGTTGAAAGAGGATCATTTGTCTGATATGGTTTATGTCTTTGAAAAAAAAATTAAAAATTATTGTAACAAAAACTGTTTTGTTTGATCCATACGCTGAAGTCTTCGGAACCTCTTTCAACTTTGTAAAAAGAACTTCTAAAAATCCGAAAAATTCCAGTGGAATTTTGAACATCCAAAAGTCTGAAAATCAAAAATTCTGATTTTTGCATGAAAAGCTTATAGTCTCATTTTTTGCAGCTGTTCCTGGTTAATAGGTCCGAATTACTGTATAAAATTCCCACTGTAGACAATATTCAATACTCGATAGTACGATGTCTTCAAATATGAATAGAACTGCGCGAAGAATGCATTTTAGGGAAACAAATTCCAAAGATATGTTGATGATAGTTGGCAAGCGAGAGTTTGCATGATCTCAACTCTCGTGCAGAGAATTGATGAGAGTCGACTGGATATTATTGGCCAAACGAGCAAAAATTCCCATCAACATCTCACATGAGATTTGAACTTTCATGGCAGTCGATGAGAGTTCATCAACTCAGTCAGAACGCGAGCGAGAGTTCATCAATTCTCGTCTTCGTTTGGCCAAGGGCTTACAATATTGGTTACTAATAGTAATACCTGCTTTGTTGCATAACCGTACTTGTCACTGAAATCCAGCACCATTCAATTTTTAATTGCTATTGTCCCTTGTCATGTCAAGTAAGATTACCGTCGTATTAAATTTCACCTTCTAACAAAATCCTAATCGCAAATTGTCTAGATGTTTTAAACCAAAACAACCTCTTTGTCTCCGAGGCATCGAAAATATGGCTTCCTAAGAATCGTTACTGTTTAGTCATTACGCGCAATTAAGTTTTCAAATTTTCCTGTCGTGCTAATTTTGGAATTTCAATGCCGCATCTAAAATTACTCGCAGCGGAAATAGCATGCTTATGACATATTTAAAACAATAACATTACTAGGTGTTAAATTCACACGCGCGTATTCACAGCAAAACATTATCGCGTTGCCACGGGTATAGTTGCCAGCAACCCTTATAGAATTTAACAAATTTGACCGACAGATACCTTGGTTAACCAAATTTGCAAAGTTGGGCGGTGTGGAGGCGAATATTATGGGTTGGCCGGAGGGTTTTTTCGTTTTGTGGAACTTTCGCTTCCTAATACAGTTGCCAACACACTTGTGTACAGGGCACTGTGCCAAAACGTTTGAGTTTGGTCGTGTGGCGAGGGTAGAGAATCGTGATTCGTGGTTCCCAAAGTTGTGTAATATCGCAACTTTTGCTGTGATTTTAGATGCGATTCTCTTCTTTTGATGAATGTCAACGACACTCAACTGAACATTTGTAAAGACTGGTTTACACTATCAAAGTTTCTGTGATCAAAGTAGGAATTTTGCATGGGTAAATTCTAAGTTTTGAAGGATTTGTAAGAAATGTTTGAGGGAAGTGATATGCAAAATTTCTACTGTGATCTCAGAAACTTTGATAGTGTAAACCATGATCAGGCTACACATACACTCAGAACATTTATAACTCATCGTTCACATGCATCATAAGAAGAAAATCTCACTTTCGTTAACATAAAAGGCACAGTTCAGCCTTTTGAATGATGGTTTTTAAGGCGCATTCAGCCCTTTTAATTGAAAAAACTAACTAGGCGCAAACTTAATGTTTTTAACATTTTAAAACATTTTTACTGTTGTTTGTGATGTTACTCTGATGTTACACCGGGCAAGCTGAAAAGTTTGCTTGACCACGGTGGGAATCGAACCCGCCGTGGCCAAGCAAACTTTTCAGTTTGCCCAGTGTGGATGCACACTCAGAGTAACATCACAAACATAATCACCTGACTGACCTGAGTACATAACACCAAAACACACAAATATCATATCATAGAATACACTGATGTCGAAGGAACTAGACTCAGTTCCGAAATATCATCACTACTCGAAGTCTCGAACCGACTTGACCACGTAGCTCAGTCAGTGAACTCTATATATACACGCGTAAAAATCATCATGTTGATGCAAGTTGTTCACAACAGGAGCGAACAATGTTGTGCTGCACCCCGTGAACAATATTGTTAACAATGTTGTTGAACCATCAACGTTGTTGCAACTTGTTGACAATCATGTTATCAACTTGCAACAATATTGATGATTGAACAACTCGGAACAACTTGTTAACAATATTGTTCACGGGGTGCAGCACAACATTGTTCGCTACTGTTTGAACAACCTGATCAATTTTTACCCGTGTATATATCTGGAACGATAACAGCGAGCGAAAACTGAAGCCGACAGAAAAATCACGACATATAAGTATTCGTCATTGTCTTCGTCATCAACTGTTCAAGAACTTTCTGAATTCTTACAGTATTAAAAATCACTTACGTACATATAAAATTTGTAATTGTTTTGAAAGTTTTTATCACAGTTTTTATATCTTTATTCACTTTTATAAACCTGAAGATGGAGTTATACTCCGAAACGCAGTTATTAAAATATTTTTTTACTAAGCCCATATGGTCTAATTTATATTCAAACACACGTACATATTCATTTACATTTTGCTGGCAGGCAAATTCCGATCACACAATATAAAATTCTTTAAAAAATAATGTACCAGTCGGTATTGACTAAAAACTATAAAACTGGTAAACTAAAAAACAATTCAAACAATCGCGAAAAATGGCAACGGCAAAGTCACAGTTGCAAGTCAATTTACCTACCTGTTAAATGAAATTTTCTCGCAAGAATATCTCTTTCCTTGTGCATCCAGAAGTATCCAGAACGACAGTACGACACAATATATTTGAAAAAGTGATTCTTTTCTCTAGACGGGGAAGTTTTCCTCGACTTTTTTTCCGACAGCGAACTCAATGCAGTAAATTTTAGGAGCAAAACTGTTTGCTCCTACAATGTATTGCATTGAGTTGGCCATGTTTTTAATTTTTTTTTCGTGATTGCGTTCAAATTTATACTGGCCGTGCAACGGTTTGCAGAGGGGGAATGAAACTGACGTCCAATCCGCGTAAACCTGACGTTTGAGGGACTGAGACTGACGTCCAATCCGCGTGAAAGACTGGTATCGAGACTTCATTGTTTTCACAATCAAATGACTGAATGTTATCGTTCCAGATATATATATATATAGAGTTTACTGAGCTCAGTTGGCAGAGCATTGGACTAGTATCCCAAAGGTCGCGGGTTTGATTCCCACCGTGGCCAAGCAAACTTTTCAGCTTGCCCGGTGTGGATGCACACTCAGAGTAACATCATAATCATCTGAGTACATAACACCAAAACACACAAATTTTTACTGTTAAAAACATTGCGTTTACTGATTTGATTTCCCAGTTGGTTTTTCAATTAAAAGGGGCGAAATGCACCTTAAAAACCATCAATCAAAAGGCTGAACTGTGCCTTTAAAACAGTAACATGTTATGTAAATCAACATCTATACAAGAACCTTCAATTATTATTGAACCGATCTCGATATTTACCCTGAAACATGTTACACTATCCTCGACTCTCCACCCACGAGCAAAACTCCATGAAAGTAGCTAGCGTGTCACGTGTTTATTATTCCAGCCACTTACATAAATACCAAAACACCTAACGATTATCGCACGGACAAAGTCCTAATGGTTAAATTAACTGACTATCGCCTCATGTCATTGCGTGTTGATTAATACCAAGACACAGCCAATGTCACAGACATCTTATCGTAAAACGAGACGCCGAGCGGGCGAATTTTTGTGGTGATGTACGAGGACTCAGTCGAAGATTGGCTTGATGTACTAAGTATGTTAAACAGGAGCAATTCAAATATAAGTTAGCACTGTATAGGACAACCTCGTTCTTTTAAAAGCAACGTTAATTTTTCACCTGCGATAGTCCGGTCGATGAATGGCATTGTAAACAAATGGGGTTGAAAATCCGAGGATAATATTGAATTTCGAGGAAGTTTTTATAAAGGGATGGTTTGCTACAATTGACCCAACATGTTACAACCATGTTTATAACCCGACGCTGTTGGATATCGCGTTATACCCGTATAGCACGACGTGAAATCATTGTTGCAGGCAGTTGCCATTTGTTAACAATTTTGTCTTTGTCAGTTTTAGGACTGGAGCCGGGTGATCTATCAAGACAATACGACCAGTCTGATTGGAAGGAATATTTCTGTGTTCTCGAACGCGAGCCGCCTGCAATAAGGATATTCTTGGACGAACAGGTAGGTTAGAATTAAGTTTGAGCTATAATCAGACTTGAGTCACCCAGCTTGTTGTTCTGCGAGTGTTTTGACTATAGGTTGGTATAGGGAAGCCTTTGGTGCCAAATATAACTCTATTATATGGTTCATTTCTTGGTTAATTTGTAGTCTTAGATGACAAGAGTTTACAACTCTATTATATGGTTCATTTCTTGGTTAATTTGTAGTCTTAGATGACAAGAGTTTACTGCTTGTGATATTGGGCATGAAGAATTATGAAATTTGACTCAAGTAGACCGAAGTTAGTTCGACCTATATTAGAATTTAGATTTTGAGTTTGATTTTAAGTGCCGTTGGGAAGGTCTCGGCGATTGAAGGTTTTGGCTTCGGTATAGGACATCCTTGGGTCCCATGTAAGGTAAATTCGGGGTCCATTATGTATAGTTAATTTGTATAATCTTAGAATGTATATGAGTTTATATATACTGCACTTTTTCGTAATATAAAATCCTGTTTAATTTAGCCAAGGCAACTTTAATTCATGAACTTGGACCACCTCAGGACAAAAAATAAAAGGATTTTTTAAGAACGGAGCAATTCTATGGAATACTTACTGGGGTCGCATACTTAAGTGCTCCTTGTAAAATAGTTCATGAATGAAATTTGACATGAGTGGTTAGGTTGGGTCAGCGATATTTTATGCATGCTTATAATGTTTAGTTAATAATGGAATGTAAGCTTAGCTTTTTGCATTATTATAGAGGGATTGCTCAGATTAAGTTACAGTATATCCCACGTATAAGAGCGTACTATTTTTCAGATCAGGTTGAATAGAAGTTCTTATACATATATTTGCATTTCATGACTATATAAATCTCATGCATTCTATATAAATCAAGTACGAGTACACTTGCATGCACTTTATACATAAGTACTATTAAAACCTTTTCCAAACTTCAGGCTGAATTGGTTCTGATAGAAATAGGTGTCTAAATGACAGGTTTCATGCCGTTGGTTCTTAATCTGCTAAGCTCGATACGACTAAAGTCGTATACGATTTTTATCCTGGCGTATGTACTCGTATATAAATGCGTGTAAAGATGTCACGTTTCAACTTTCGCCAAATCAAAGTGATGAATAGGAGGAATAATGGTATCAGTAGTCGTTTTCAAACGCCAGAATGACAATTGTATACGCGACTAGTCGTATTGTTTCAACACATGCATGGGCCTTTAAATATGCGGGATTTTACTGGATTGGTCAAACGATATATCAGTAGGGTTACTAGGGTACAGACTTTGATTAATTATGAATGGTGAACTGTAATCCTTCGGTTAACGCAAGGCTATTAGCATTAAATTTGAGGCAAAATGTGTGTATTAAAAACTCGTTTTCCCCAGAAGAATGGTCATTGTGTTGCAATTGTATATTGTCCACGTTGCAAAATGCTTGTTTTACGACCCCACGCAATATTCGTAGTTAGGAAACAGTTGATATAGTTTCCTAGTGAGTAGTGTGTTTGCTTTATGGTAACACAATCTTAGTCTCGATATATATATTTACTTATTTATTAATGGGCAGCACAGGTCATTACACGATATATATTTAGTTATTTAATAGCTAGCATTGGTCATTTATATACAAGTAGATCATATGTTTCTATGTGTACCGTATCTTTTGACAACTGTAAATTTATCATGACTAACACAATCGCTAGCTGGCATACACTGACCATTACAAGTATAATTTAGACATATAAGCGTCAATGCGTCATAGCAGCTGTAAATTTGTAATGATTTATTCATGAACAAATTAGATTTGGACAGATTTCATCGCTCGTTTGACGTATTTACCAGTTTAACGCTGTCGGGGTTTCGGCGATGCATGCTTGAATTGCTTTACACAATAATTATGATTTGATAATTGTTATGTGATGTTTCATTGAGACAAAGGCTTGGTCTACTGCCATTGTTATATATATATGATACAGTTAGCAGCTCACCACCCACATATAAATGAATATGGAAACTAGAGGCATCGTTTCCGTCTGATGCACAATGACAATGCGGCACAGTAATATACTGAAGATAAAACAGGCCTGAGGTGTTGTTTTGCAAGAATATTTATTGCACTAATAAAATAACTTGCGTATTCATCCATACATCCCAGACCTATAGAAAAGATATTTGTCTTCCTGGTAGCAAAATCCAAAACTAGAAATTTCCTGTGTGAGTCGAATATAAAACGTCCTCCATATGTAGATTTCGTCTCGACTTGCAAAACGCTTTTGGAATTTTTACAATAAATAAATTATTTGGCATTCCAGTATATATAGATGAAAGAATTTCCTGCAAGATGTAAGAGAATTCCCTGGCAGCAATGCTACCGGTGGCATTTTCCAGCACTATAAACCATCTATTATTTACATAACCATCGGTTATACTCTCTCAATATATACCAGAAGTTAAGAATGAATTTGAGTAACCTTTCGAACAAGACGTTATACTTGATATAACTTTGGTTTGTGGAACTTATATCTTATCGCCATGCAAAACTACGAAGTCAAAAAACCTATTACAAAACAGTACTTCAATGGATGAAAAAAGTATAAAAATCTGCATCATAAAATTGATATGTGTTTATAGTCTTTTTTCATACGTAAAGGTTCTCGTATTTTCCGTATCCAATTTTAAAATAATTGCATCTCAAAAGAGCTTTTTCTTTGCAAAGGAAAAGAGACATAAAAGGCATCATTAACGCAGAACCAGGAAAATGAACAATGTGAATGATATTCGCTTTCGTGCTTTCCACTTTAATGCTCTTACTTTGAATCTTAACTTCGCCGCCATTATACTTAAGTTTGAACATAATTATTGAGTTATATTTGCTTAAAAATACATACACAAACACGTATGTGTTGTTGTTTTAGTTTTGAAATATCAAATTTAGCGTCATACTGTGAAATGAATGATTTGATTAGCTTTCAATATGTGAACTTGACATTTGTTTCACAGTTTGGCTCAAACAGAAACGTGCACACGCTCAGATTTGTTCAAAAATGTGTTTTCCATTGAAATTAAGGAAAAGGCCTAGATTATTAAAAGGAATGGAAATTTTTAGGCTTAGAGTTTCGTAGACAAACTTTATGGACGAGATTTAGATGTATGTTGTAAATGAGAAAATGTCCACGTGCATGAAGCATGCCCACTTTTAAGCCGGATATATATACAATTCATTTTCAATTTCTTAAGTTGTAACTAGTGTCTAAGTAGAAACGTTACGATATGTTTGGAAATTAGATCATGTCCCTTCGAAATTTATTTATTTATTTATTTATTTGTAGGATTCTCCCCACAAAAACAAACAAATTAACGCTTGTACCAAAACGACACAAAATATATATAAATTAAAATAGGTGGAGACTAACCACAGAGATATAGTCTCCATGCATAACGGACCCCCCAAAATTTCTCCCTGAAAGAGTCTGGCCAAGAAGCCAACCTGTAGTCTAATATATTATACTCTCCAAGCTCAACGCATTTGACTTTTGATCAGTGTGCATTGATCAACATTCAAATCAATTCTTATTTTTATCTCTCTGTATTTCAGGAATACGATGATTACCAGAACTATCCCAGTCCTGTCCTCAGCCCCCGGGGACGCAGACCATCATTTGGAGATCTTCTAGGAAACGGTAAGAAACGCTTCACTTTTTATAGTGAGATTATTTGTTACATCGGTACCAACATGGCCACCGAAGACAATTTCCAAATTTGCTTGAACGCACATGTAACAAAGTAGCTAGGGCACATATAGGATGCAATGTAACTTTATGGGTTAACCAGATAAAGTGGTTGATTGTCTGATTAACCCATGAAATCCATACTATGAAATTTTCAATTGCATCACACTATATTCATACTATAAATTGCAATTAGTATATGAAAATTGGATTTTGAAAAAAAATTTCCATTGATCCCCTTGATGAATAAAATGGTCTGGCGTTAGGCAGAGTGAATAATAGGGCGCCTTGGTGCGTAATGTAACTTTGGGTTAAAATACCATTCTGTTTCGTCCATGCATATTAATCTCAATTTATAGGCATAGCCATGTCGGCAAGGGCCCCCAGGAAAAACAACATTCTTAAATTATATACGTTGCGAAAACACTGTGCCCCATTAAGAATACTTAACATTTATAGTCATCCAATTTTCAAGGAGATATTTCTATGGTGAGACCATTACAGCTCTAAAGTATGTTATTTTCGACCAGAATGACAGTCAAAAGCAAATATATTTTGCGGTTAGTTTTCATGGTTATTTTATTATAGGCAGATACATGATTGAAATTTAACCCATTCTGGAAAACACCAGAATGTTGTAGGATTTTTGACGCACAAATATCAAAGTATGCAGACATTAGCATATTTGAGGATTATTGTTTTGTCTTAATTTCTCATGTGTTGGTTTTTGGCTACAAATCGGTAAAATTACCCGGACATTATGGTTTCTTCCCGTAGTAATACCATATAGACAACAGTGTAGTGTAGTTTAGTTTAACTTACAGGAACTTCTAGGGTCGGGAGAACAGTTTTAAACTGACAGAGAGATATCCATTGTAGAATATCCCAATAAAGGAAGGCCTTAATTGCTGGACTTAGCCTTAGGAAAAGGAAAAACAGATAATGCTATCTAGTATAAATAGAGCTTGTACCAGTACTGTACCATATGAGTGGGCACATGCAATAATGTAGTTGGCCATTAAGCTTATTTGGTGTTCGGCATTAGGGCTAATCTCTGTTTGTCTTCCTGTTAATTTAAGGAAAGTATTCAGTACTCAGGCGAAACTGTTCGTCTATTTACTTGTTAGCTTTGACCTGTGTTTTTCTACGGACTCCCTGTGGTTTGGTGTAGAATATAGGAAAATTGTACATAGTCGCTTTCGCAATACACACACAGTCATAGGAAGAGCGTTGACTTTAGACTTAAGACCGTAAGCTTAAACGTGTTCAATTAGTCTTGAGTTTTGAGCAAATATTAATTACACTTGTATAAACTTCGGTAAAAGTTCCATTGTTCGAGGGGTTTGGCGGTCGTCTTTGCAGATTAACCGAGAATTGATGGAAATTTCTTGCCAAGCTCGAGCCAGAAAGTGGGCTTTTTTAATTAATATTTTTACAATGCAAGGTTAAAGTTCTGCTTTGAACAATGCACAGAATGTTCAAATCTTGAAAAATGCTCCGGGAGCATTAAGTTACTCATTATTAATATACAAATACAATACACTGTTAATTTCGGGGAGTTAATTTAACTCCGGTGGAGTTATACTGTACCTCAATTAACTCCAAATGTGGAGTAAAATTAGGTTCAGGATAATACCACTGGAGTTAAATTAACTCCCTGAAATTGACAGTGTAGACATGTACAATTCCAGCTATCGGCTAATTTTTTATCTAGACAAGAAAGACGAAATATATCATTATAGCTCAAAAGAGCATCCTAAAATTAATAAAATTGCAAAATTTGGTTGCGAAATGTTGTAAAATACGGATAATATAGCCCTGTGAAATTAGTAAATTTTCAATGACAATATTTTACATTTTTAGTATTACGCGCGATAAAAATAACCACTTTCGGCTCAGAAACGGCTATTTTTACCGCGCGTAATACTAAAACTTGTACTCAAAATTCGCTAATTTCACATGTTAAGCCTTACTCTTGGTCATTCATCAACACAAAAAAGTCTGTTAGTAAATTTAAACTGAGAGAAAATTCGTTATTAAACTTACATGTTGTAATAATTAGGAAAACTTTATAGAAAACCGGATGGAATCTTCGGTTCCTGAGCCGACATCATAAGTTTATTATTTCATAACAATTCCATTTATGTTCATGCGATTTGCATTTGGATTTATGGAATGGGATTTATACGGATCACATTGAGATGCCATTTTCTGATGCGTGTTCTATGTATAGAACACCACAAGCTTAACCCTGGATTCCATATGGTCGTAACGGTCGTAAAGATTGAGTCACGATCTTTCTCATCAGCCGAAATACAACATTTTAGAACTGAAAATACTAGGAGTGATTATAACTAGAGAATACTTATGATTTATATGTGGTTTACAGGTATAAACTATTATAAACTGGCCATTGAGAAAGATCGTGACTATATTTTTACGACATTACGTCTGCCTTCCTTCTCTTGTTACCAAGGATATAGTCATGTAGATTCCTGCATGCAATATGATTGTTGATTGTGATTAGTCAGCTCACTCTCCATCCGGGCTTTTCACTGACCAATTAAATCAAATATTGCAGCCACTTATATTACCTACTTAGCCTAGACTATATTTATCTTTACCTATTTATCTGTACAACAATTGTGATATTACTTTCCTAACTATGTTTATCAATGTTTATCCTAATCCAATATTTTGTTGACATCTCACTCGATTGAAGAAGGGACCGGTCATAAAGTAATTACTAGAGGAGGGTGGAGAATAAATGAAATTTCAAGTACATATTTCCATACCCTCTCAAAAACCTATGGAAAAATTTTCTTAACCCCCCATCAATGTAAATGAAAATGTTCGTACCCTTCAATCAAATTAACAGGTTCTAATGGTGTTAGCTTGCTAGCATTGTCATGACATTGACAATTCAGATGTATCAGATTTGTACTCAGACTAAAACATATTGAGTCAGACTGAAACATAAATACTTTGTGTTGATTTAATAATAATTATAGTAAAACAATTCTTTCCAAACTTAAATCTGGGCACAAATACCTTCAATATTCAACAATAATTATAAAATGTAATTTTTTCCCGTACCTATAGTACTAAGATTTTGGTACCCCCCTAGAGTTTCTGTTGTTTTTTTCGTACCCTCCTCATAAGTTCTGGGGTTTTTTCATACCCCCCAAAAATATCCTCCACACCCCCTAGTAAATACTTTATGACCGGTCCATAACAAAACTGTCCAACTATTATTCAATCGAGTGAGCTGCCAACAAAATCTTGATATTTTCCCATACCTTAACATGGCAGTACCCAAAGTATATATACATGAACTTGTGGGTATAGAGCTCGACAACTGGCCTCTGTAGCTCAGTTGGTTAGAGCGCTGCACCGGAATCGCAGGGCCGTAGGTTCGATTCATGCCAGAGGGCCTATACAGGGTGTATCAAAATAAACGCAATTCATCTTTTGTGCTTAATAACTTTCGAAATACTATTTCTAGTTAAACGCTTTTATAGGCTTACTTCAAAGCCTGTTCTTTTCTCTTTCAAACAAACTATTGTCCTTGTTTCCAATGCTAGTAATAATTGCACAGGAAAAGATTTAGTAAAACCTATCATTTTTAGTTGCTGTTTAATTATGCAAGTTTACTATGTTATTGTTTAGTCGGTTTAAATGTTAGGATTTTCTTCTTTAAACTTTAATGTTGTCGTCACTACATCTGGAAAGTCACGTAAGAACAAATTAAAAGTATTTTAAAAGAGACCAGGTTGTTTGAAAATCCTAAACGAATGCTAAAAATCGTCAAAACATTCTGGTGTCTGAGCCAGAGTGTCATCGAATTGTGATGTAATGTGAACAGAAATTAT